ATTTCTATCGAAATGTGATAACCATTAAATTATTTATATTGTTAGCTAAATTGTAAGGTACTTAACAACTTAATTTTGATTAATATAAAGGAATAACTGATTCATCACTATTTGTTAAAATAATTCCTCCATTTAAAAAAATTAGTGAATGCAAATTGGATCACATGTATTTGTTGATATAATTTATTTAAATGGTATATTATAACCTAAAAATATTATAAACTCTATAATTTTAATGTGTCATTATACAATTAATTTTTTTATACAATTAATTTTTTTATTCAATAGGGCACGTGTAATATGCATTTTATTTAGTCAAATAATATGTTGAGTTAGAAAAATAAATTAATATAGACTCAAAATATAATAATTTACAAAATAAGATTCAACTCTTTGTCTTATGTAAATTTGGAATTAATATAAATTATTGTAAGTGTGATTTTTATTACATAAAGAATTATATTATTGTTTAATAATTATTTTAAAAATAATTTTATACATTAATATAATTATTAAATTATAATATAAAATATTAATTTAAATTAATTTAATTATAATAAATTAAAATTTTTTAAAAATACTGTGAAAAAAAAAATATAGTAAAGAGGAAATTCAAAACACAACTTATCATCAGACAAATTCTCAACTCAACTCATTGAGACTTCCTGCGAATCGGATTCATGGATAAAAGCATACAGCTATGTTTAAGCTTTAAGTCTCTGGACTTATTGAAAAAAATTTTAATTTTACCTTTTTAAAAAGTTAGATCCACTTAAGGTGTTTTTGGGATTGTTGTGAAATGCTATGGCTATAGTTGTGGCTATAACTGTGCTTATGCTAAATTGTGTTGTGTTATAATTATAACTAAAAGTTAGTTTGGTATTTACTTATTTATTTCTTAAAACTATTATATATGAAATATGATAGATTTTATTAATTATTAATTAAAATTTAAAAAATATTATAAGATATATAATTATTAAAATATATAATATTTACTATTTTTAATAATTTAGATTTTTTAAATTTATTATCATTATTAAAATATTATAAATTATGATGTAATTAAATTATACGAAATTGGGTTTTAATGAGTAATTTTATAATTATATTAAATATTAAGTTTTATTTTGTAAAATCACAGCTAGAAAACTTCAAAATAAGGCTTTTGGTTATATATATAAAAGGTTTAAGTACCATTTTGGTCCCTCAACTTTTCACTTTGGTACCAAAATTGTCCCTCAGCTTTAAAAAGTACTAAAATTATCCTTAAACTTTCATTTTCGGTACCAAAATGATCCTTCCGTCAGTTAAATTAACAGCTGGCACGTTAAAGGGACACATGGCACGTTAAATGAACAGATGATAGGTTAAATGGGTAGCTGGCAC